TACAGAAGCTTTTTAGCATGATGTAGTCCCATTTGTTCATTTTTTGTTTCCCTTGCCTGAGGAGATGCGTTCAGGAAAAAGTTGCTTATGTTTATATTCAAGAGATTTTTGCCTATGTTTTCTTCTAAGACATTAACTTTCTGGAAGAGTCAAGACCAGTTACCTTAACAGAATGACCCTCACTGTGGATTTGCCTGATTATTTCTTTGTGTTTAACATATTTTTCTCCCAGGAATGCTACACCAGTAATGCTGTGGTGATGGGTGGGTTTGAAGATTGAGCTTCTTTGGTTCATCAAGATATCTGTCTAGACCAGAGGTTCTTAACTGGGGCCATGAATAGACTTCACTCCTTGACATATACATATCCCATACCTAAATTATATCCACATTTTCCTTCTGTGTGCATTTTTCCAAGAGGCTTCTTGGCTCCTATCAGATTCTCAAAGGGCTTTAGGACCCAAAGAGATTAAGAAACACTGGTCTGCCAGCTGAAGTAGGCGGTACACAGCTGGTTTCTGGGGTCTTGCTCACTCTGAACTGGCTTCCTTGTGGAGATAGCTGTAAACTGTAACTTTCCCCTACCCTGGCTTTGGATCAAAGAGATGTCTGTGCAGTTTGTTGTTAAATCTGGGAGCCAGGGGCAGCCTGTGTGCCTGGTTCCAAGGATTCAGGAGAGTTTCTGTTCTTTTCTTTCCTGTCAGGTGCTCAGAATGCCAGGATTCCCTCACCAACTGGTACTATGAGAAGGATGGGAAGCTTTACTGCCACAAGGACTACTGGGGGAAGTTTGGGGAGTTTTGCCATGGGTGCTCTCTGCTGATGACAGGACCTGTCATGGTGAGTGTGTCCCTCCATCTCTGTCCCTCTTGGTCAGCAGAGTCCATTGGCAGTGCCTCCAGTTGCCTATTGCCATTCATTTTCTGGTCTAACCATCAGCCAAGGCCTCTCCTTTGTTTACCCAATCATTTAACAGATGTTTGCTGAGTACCTTTTAAGTGCCAGGTAAGGTCCTTCCCTCAAAGACTTACCAGTCCATTGTTGGGAGTGGTTGGGTAGGCAGGCAGGGGTGGGATGAGGGCCTTGAAGGAGAGCATTACAGGTTGAAGAGAATATACCTAAGTTGTTTTTGGGGAATCAGAAAGAGAGACCCTGGAATGGGCTGGGCAAGAGAGGTTCCACTCCCCCTCCCTGTTCCTGGTGAAGGGCTTTAAGCCTAGTCACAGATTTGCCAACCCTGTGTTGGAGGAACTGTGAGCCTTTCTAATAGGGATGATTGCTTCTGGGGACTTGTTCTCATGTCTGAGACCAAAACAGTTTTTTGCAATGTCAGAAGGAACAGAGAGGCACCAATCTGACGCTTCCTCTGGAAGCTTTAGGGCAGGGACTACAGAGGTAGACTGTCAGTGGGATCTGTAGATCCTTGACGGAGGTCACCCACCCACCTCACCTCCACCCAGGCAACAGTGACAGCTCCCTTCCTCCATCCTCACCTGCCCACAGGTGGCTGGGGAGTTCAGGTACCACCCAGAGTGCTTTGCCTGCATGAGCTGCAAGGTGATCATCGAGGATGGGGATGCCTATGCCCTTGTGCAGCACGCCACCCTCTACTGGTAAGGTGGTGGCCCCGTGTCCTCCAAGAGTGGCCAAGAGCAGGTGGCAGTGTGAGTTGGGCAGAAGGACAACTGGGCGATCACAGCACTGGATTCCAGTCATAGCGATGCTCTTAACCAGCTTTGTAACCTGCAGGCAGGATCATTAACGTCTCTGTGGTCTCTGTCCCTACCTACTATGAGAATCACAACACTGTGCCCTGCAGTCCTCCCAGAGGGGGAAAACGGCTGGGGAGATGTTCTCAGAGGACCCGGAACATTAAAGGCAGAGGCCCGTTAGAGCTCAGTCGGTCCGGCTGCCTCAGTTGACAAAAGAAGTCAGGTTGGGGCCCAGAGAGGGGAAGGGGGCTGGGTTCTCACTGTGAGTCAAAAACAGAGCAGAGAGACCCAGGCCATCTCACCCCCAGTCCCAGCGCCCCCCGGGGAACCCAGGGTCGTTGTTGTGAGCAGCCAGCTAGAATCGTGGTGAGGACAGTAATAGTGGGGTTATGGGGGAACCCACATGGTACAGTGGTTGCTGGGGGGGTTCCAGGTGGTGCTACAGGGTCTTGATCCACTTTACACTCCTCTCCCCAGTGGGAAGTGCCACAATGAGGTGGTGCTGGCCCCCATGTTCGAGAGGCTTTCCACGGAGTCTCTTCAGGACCAGCTGCCCTACTCTGTCACACACATCTCCATGCCCGCCACCACTGAGGGCAGGCGGGGCTTCTCTGTGTCGGTGGAGAGTGCCTGCTCCAACTACGCCACCACTGTGCAAGTCAAAGAGTGAGTATTTTGAGAGCCCTGCAGCGGGGGTTCTTGAGCAGAGACGGGCCTTGAGGGGCTCCCTTCAGCCTCATTTCATCTCTTTCTCCTGGAGCTCACTATATGTAACCGCACCTGGGCCTTGGCATTTACTTTCTCTCTGCCTAGGCTGCTTCCCACCAGGTACTTAGCGCCAGAATCACTCCCCTTTTAGTGTCAAGTTTCAGATCATATTTGCTCTTTGAAATTATCTGGCTCGATTACGTGAATGTGTATTAGTTTGTGTACCCTCTGTCTTCCCCATGGCTCCTTCTGGAGCTTAGTCCTGTTCAGTACTGCATGCCCAGGGCCTAGAGCAGTGCCTGGCATATAATAGGTGTTCATTGGTTACTGTTTTCTTGGTTGAAAGAATGAATGGAGAAGAGGTAAGACTCCGTTCTGTTTCCAGGCCCTCAGGACCAAATGGAGAGAGTCTGTTCCCATCTAATAACAGTGATGAGGCCAGTGTGCCTGCCAACCCTGTATATAGTGGTTGTGTACTTTTGTGCTGGCCCTGGGCTCTTGCATATAGGTCTGGGAAAGTCAGCAGGAGGTAGGGGCTTCTCAAAGCCTCATTAGAGGACGAGGGAAGGGAACTGTGTTCAGGGCAGAGGTGGGAGCCTGTGGTTGTGTCTGGTATAGATTGTTAAATCATGAAAGGCCTGGATTTTGAAGATTCAGCAGGTCTGTGGAAGGATTCAAGCAATAAGGTGACATGGCCAGGTTAGTGTTTTAGAAGGATCACTGGTGTGGAAGTTGGATGGGAGAAGAGCAAGCCTAGAGGTATACAGACCAGTCAGAAAACTGCTGAAAGATCTAGGAGTTTGATATTAGTAACAATGTTGATGGAGAGAAGCAGGATAAAGATGGTGAGGGCTGGGAGGCAGTGAGGGAACTCTGGATGGGGAGGGTGATGTCCAGGTTTCTGGTGTTTCTTGGATGATATCCAAGTTCTTGGCCGCTGACGGATGGAGGGTGTCATTCACTGAGACAGGGCAACCTGTGGAGAGTGTTGCCTTTCCCTGTGAGTGGCCTGGGGCCTGGTGAACGTCACCTGCACAAGTGAAACGGGTCAGACACATTTTTTAGTTCGCTTACACCGTGCTTCCACTCTTGTCTGACCAGGGTCAACCGGATGCACATCAGTCCCAACAACCGCAATGCCATCCATCCCGGGGACCGAATCCTGGAGATCAATGGGACCCCTGTCCGCACACTCCGAGTGGAGGAGGTAGAGTGCAGGTTCAGTCTGTCTGGTGGGTTGGGACATGGGGCAGTCCGTCTGGAAGATCAGACTGCGGCCTTTACCTTCCCCACCCCCAGCCTCTCTGTCCTGGCCCGGAGCCTGTGGCCACTGGTGACCTCCGATGTGAACCTGGCACATTCCTGGGGCAGCAAGGATGGCCTGATAGATGGGGGAGCTGACAGAATGCCAGGCAGAGGGTACTGTGGGGCTGCTAGCAGCTGGAGGCCACCATTAGCCAAGTTGAGCATTGGCCACACTGTGTTTGGATCACCCGGGTTGATGGTGGGTGGCTTGGGGTGGGACAGCTTGTGGGAGCCAGCCTGACACTGTTCTTGGCCACAGGTGGAAGATGCGATTACCCAGACAAGCCAGACGCTTCAGCTCTTGATTGAACATGACCCCATCTCCCAGCGCCTGGAGCGGCTGGATGCACGACTCTCTCCCCACATGCAGAATGCCAGACACTCCCACACCCTCAGCACCCTGGACACCAAGGAGAATCTGGAAGGGACGCTGAGGAGACGCTCCCTGAGGTGCCGCCTCCCACTCTGGTTCTGTCCCACGTCTGTCCCTCAGATGAGCTGAGCCGGCTTTCATAGGCCAGCAGAGTTAGCACGGAAACCAGCTGGTCAGGGACAGGCTGTGGCGATTGTGCTGACCCGGCTCCCCCGATGGGGATCACAGTTCATAGCCAGGGCCTGTGCATGACCTCACCCAGCTGTCTGCCAGTTTTCCATAGAAACTAGAGGGCCAGCCTCTGCCCACTGAACTCCTGGCTACAGGAGACAGCGATGCTGGACCCGAAGGACAGTGTAGACTGTAGGGGAAGTTTGGGGCTCAGAGGCTTGATAAGTATAAATAAGGACATTGAAAACTATAAAGCAAGAGGTGAATGCAAATAGTTTCAGATTTGAGGGACCAACATCTGAAATCTCAGAGTTGTCTGGGTCCATGGGGAGGGAGCTGTGGCCTGGGTGCAGGTGCCAGGGAGGGAGAACAGCAGGTGAGACGGTGGCTTTGAGGCAGAAACTCCCCCACCAGCCCTCACGCTGAGCTCCCTCCCTTCCCAAACCGCTTCATCTCTCCTGTCCTTTGTGTCCACATCTGGGAAGTGGAGTGGCAAGATAGAGGTGGCTGTGCCCACAGGTACGAAAGGATTCAGTGTGGAGAAGGATGCAGAGATCCACAGGGTCGGCCCTTAGTAAATGTGAGGTGGTGTTGGTGTCACTAGGTGCCAGCTGCCTTCTCTACCTCATGACCAAGCAGACTGAATCACAAGGAAGCGGCAGGCTTCCTCGGCTGGCATCTGTTGGAAGTATGGCCCTGTCACTCCCGGCTGCCCTCTTGGCCTCAGTCAGCACAAGTGAGCTGGTCGAGGCAAGGTGCCTGAGGGCAGAGAGGGCCTGGGAACAGGTGGTCTGGAGGAGGGAAGATGTGGGCATGGCCAGAGAGCTGCTCAGATATCTGCAAGGCTGTCCTGCAGGAAAAGGGCAGCTCACCTCGTGTGCTCTGGTGGGCACGGTCAGCTCGAGGCAGAGCACAAGAGCAGGGCCTAGGAAGCCTGTGGGCAGCCCTTCCTGGGCAGCCCAGGTGAACAGGAGCTTGCCTCGAGAGAAGCTGGCAGGGCTACAGTTCACCTGCAGGGCTGTGTACTTCCACCTTCCTGTGCCAGCTCCAGGAAATCAGAGTGACTGTTGTAGACCATTTACTTTTATTTATTTATTTATTTATTTATTTATTATTAAGGTATGATTGATATACACTCTTACGAAGGTTTTACATGAAAAAACAATGTGGTTACTACATTTACCCCCCATATTATCAAGTCCCCACCCTACCCCAATGCAGTCACTGTCCATCAGTGCAGCAAGATGCCACAGATTCACTGTTTGCCTTCTCTGTGCTACACTGTTCTCCCAGTGACCCCCCACACCATGTGTACTAAACATAATACCCCTCAGTCCCCTTCTCCCTCCCTCCCCACCCGCCCTCCCACACCCCTCCCCTTTGGTAACCACTAGTTCATTCTTGGAGTCTCTGAGTCTGCTGCCATTTTGTTCCTTCAGTTTTGCTTCATGGTTATACTCCACAAATGAGGAAAAGCAT